TTTTTTTTATGTTTACCTCATATATATAACAGCGCGATAAAGAAACTGTATCAATGCCAAGATTTTAGCATGATCATAATTATTTATAGTACAAACACATGAAAAAAATATATCTCATAATGATTCAGTAAAATACATCATGCATATGTATAATAGCTTTTTTTTCAAATAAGTAAATTTCGATTCAAAGTACACTATGATTAGTATATAGGTGACTGAAATCTTTCTTTCACTCTTAAAAGACAATGCGAAAAAATTATGATGAAAATAGAGAAGAAAAAAATACTGCCAACACGACGCTTTTTGCGTATGCATAGTGGATATTGAGGATGAAAGAAAAATGTCTGATCAGTAACAACTTCGTCTGGACAAGGTATTGAGGGTTTCTTTCTTCTTTTTTTTTTTAACCAGCACTTCTCGCTAAGGTTGTTACCTCCTTAACGGGGTGTTAAAAATATTTTTTTAAAAAGAAATACACAATTTATGTTAACAATTAATATAAATTTCGTATAAATTGTTTTATTATAATATAAATTTACTTATATATATATATATATATATATATATATATATATATATATATATATATATATATATATATATATATATATATATATATATATATATATATATATATATATATATATAACTCTTTGAAAGCATTTTCACCATTGAACACATTTGCTAAAAATAGGACCACGCGACTTTTCATACAAAACGGGAAGTAACTGTTAATATTGGCCGTGATGGAAGCTCAAATGCTACGATATTTACAATATTTAAAAAAAAAATTGAAAGGGATAACGCATAAATAGGAGAGGCAAGGATGAATATCTTACTTATAAAAATGTACCTGTATTCATTAATTTTAACGACGAACTCCATTCATTGCCACAATGACATAAAGTACATTGATTTTTACAAAAGTCGATGGGATTTCTGTTTGTTTGATATTAATAATAAGTATGAAATCAGGGAATTTTACAAAATTTAGTAATTACTACTGATATTTTCTATCGATGTAGAGATTCAATAATTTTATCTCCAGATGAAATGTAGGCCAAACAAGCTGTACAGGTAATACTCATGGACTTCCTGAGTATACTGTTTGTGTATAAGGATTAGCGCTCTGCACGGTCTGCACGACCGTCAATGCCTCGGGGTACCATGCATGTAAATTTCCCCTTACCCAAGAAGACCGTGCGGTTAAAAATCTCGGCCTTTAATGCGTCATGGCATAATCTACATATAATTTCAACAGATTGCTGGTTGTCAATGAAGAACTCAGACATCTTTTTTTAAATTAGCTTCAGAGTACATGTACTTGTATGTTGAATCATATTGGTTTTTGCAAAGTTAGATTATAGATGACAATAAGAAGATAGATAAATTTGCTCGCTCCATTCTTATTAAAGAAGCGGTTGTCTATTATATCAAATAGCCTGGTTTTTTTTTAAATTTATCACGGGGACTGGTTGTATAAAGTGTTGAAAAGCAAACTTTTCTTATTTATTTACTAATATTCCACTCTCACCTGCTTATGGTGTTTTTGTATCCAAACGTATTCGATACGCAACAGCATGATCTGAGAAGAAGGGTATGTTACAGGAAATTCAACAACCTCGTTTAAAATCAGCATTTCGAAAAAAAATTATTATAATGTTATAATTTGCAAATGCAATCTTTCATTGCGTTATATTTATTTACTGCTTACATTTTGTCATACCCATTGTAAGGCCATTGTTATATACTAGATTACTCCGTCAAAATAATCAATACATAGAGCTCAGGGGCGGGTGTGACCGATCAACAGGGGATGCTTACTCCTCTTAGGCATCTGATTCAATCTCGGTAGTTTCTAGGGTCCGTGTTTTATGTCCTGTTCTTCGACAATTTTGAGATCATTTACTGTTTGTTATTTCCACCCTTTTCATTCTAGTCGAAAATTATATATACTTGTTTATTTTGTAAAGAAAATTCTATAGAAATATAGTCTGACGTCAGTGGGAGGGAACTGTTGAAATTAACATGGGAGGCCTCGTGTATTTTAAATCTATTAAACAACATTTTTTAAGCTTATAAATGCAATTTTATTTCAAAAAGAAATGTAAATATAAGGAAACACTGTTTCACTGCTGCACCCGTTATACAAGGGATTTATCCCACGTTTCTAACTATCGTTGATGCCCTGGCATACCCAACAAACTAGACAGTGATTCCTTAATTAAATACATTTCATATTTGACTAAATTTGATTGTACACATTTGTTTTCTTTGTTTCAAATTATATCAGTAATAGATAAAATTACTTGGCTTGAGACATCAGGGAATTGACGTGAAGGTGAAGGTAAGACTCCAAGATTTACTTAACCCATCTCTTCTTACTTTAATTTTGTTAAGTACAAGTCTCTGTAAGAATCACGCAATAGGTGAATCATGGGGGTTCTCAGAATTCGATGATTTTCAATACATAGATTTCTCTTGCGCAATAAACCACGTATTCAAAATTAAAAAAAAGTTTTGGGTCATGATTACTATGGAAACATAGCTAAAGAATTTCCCTAGCAACCAGTCAATTTTCCATATGTATGGACAAAAAAAATCACTAATCTTTAGGGCTTGAAGTTGATTGTGAATATTTAAGAATTTCTTCTTATTTATTCTTATCGTAAAGATAAACATTTAAAGTGTTTTCACAATGCATTACATAGAAATAAGATTTTGAGATATTGTTGAAAATTCTAATCCGTTGCCTAGCAACAAAAAAGGATGTTTTGATAAATAAAAAATGGAAAATCTAAAATATGAAAATTATAAATAAAATAAATTGTCATCTGAGGGTACAAAAACACAGTTTAAAGTAAGAAAATATATCTGAGACTCCTATGCATACCAAGAAATATTGTAAAGATACTTACCTCCTTGGCAACAGCAAATTCTCCATAGCAACAAAGCAAATAAAGTTACTTTTGGCACATATTTATGAACAATTGTAAAAATTAATCAACAATATGGTAGAATATTGCGATTAATCATATCTGATTTTGTAATAGATGTCTTAGCAAAGTATATTTATATAATTTTAACCCATTTTTATACTTTTAACCCATGGCAACAAAATTTGAGAACATAAGAACCAGTGTATGTAATGGAGAGTTAAATAGCAATTTTCTGTTACCACCTGAACTTTTTTGGCACGCATGGTCACCGATTTTCATGAAGCTTTGCTCATGATAATAGTAACAATTATAATAGTTTGACAATAGAATTTTAAATCAATCAAAGTTTGGTTGCTATGTGCCTTGGTTGTCATGGCAACAGACAGGATGATTTCAACAAAATTTAGATTTTCGGCTACTTTAAATCTTAATTGACCCTTCACAAGCACTTTAAAAAACCAAATTGACCATTTACATATCAAAAAAAGCAACAACAACAACAAAAATATCAACCTTGTTGCCACTTATGATGTCAAGAAAGTCTTTGAAATATATCTCTATATAGGTGGTAACCAAGGCTACATTCGGCATATATCTTATATGCAGAAAAACGCTCAGTATTTTCTTATTATGGGAGTTACCTGACCTAACTCATTCGCCAGTGATAAAACAATAGAAATGGTTGACCTTATAAAAAAAAGGTTTTAACAATATTATTCTAACAATGAAATTAGCGGTTGCCAAGATAACACGGTACCACAATTTGTGCCTTAGTTATAACCCAGCAAACAGGGATAAGGGGTATAAAGGAATCACCTGTCTGTCTTTCTCTGTGTCCTTTTGTCTGTGCAATCATGTCTGGGTCATAACTTTGTTATGTAGAAACAAGCATTGATAAATGCTTAGAACCGCACAAATCTACACGGTCACAATTCTCCACCAATTGTGGCCGTGTACATTTAAACTGTATTTAAGAATTCGTCTGGAACTGCATCCGTTGTTTGCAAAACGAACGTGGTGAGGCAATTTGGCGTTGGGGGTACGAGGTATTGGTAGAGGAGCTGTTTGGCCGTAAGGTAAAAACGAAGTATGGGTGTGCTGTATTCCCGAAAGTCCACCAATATGCAATTCCAGAGATAAAACAAATGATGAAGGATTCCGTATTTATTGGATGAGTCTCAACGATGGCAACAGTTTACATAAATCAACAAACAGACATATTTAAAAATGATCGAGTCGGATCTGGCCAAGGTGGCCTCCGGACTCAGAGTCCTGACGAGTCGGACGTGGCCGAGGCTGGCCTTCGTATATTCCAGACTAAAGATTGAAATTAAATATACATGACTATTTATAAGAATGTACATAAAGAGTAAATAAGTGACAGGTGTTGACATGAGTGAAAGATTCACATGTTTAGAGTAATTAAATATATATACTTAATGACTCTTTGATGTTTGGACATGAAAATCATATAATCATGATAATTACACAATGTTGTTATAAAAGATTAACAGTTCTTGAGACATAACACTCTGTCTCTTTGTAATTCAATTGTCCGAAAAGTGTCACTTAACACTTAGATTCGTTAAATATATCGTGGGAAATAAAATATGACAAAAATAAGAAATTAAAAAGTAAAGTCCAAAATAAAGTTTATTTCTGGAACAGTGAATTTTACTCTGTGGTAGTATCATGCTTCTGTGAGTTGTCTTTCCTGGTTTTGCCCTGGTTTCGTATCTTGAACAATATTGTATTGTTTTCATAAAATCTTTATCAATCCTCGATTCAGTAAGATTTTTTTTAACATCAATAAAAAAACTGCTTCATCTGTAAAACAATAGAGGAGAAGGAACAAAAAAAAAGAAATTATAATTTGCCACTTTCTTAGTGATTAAAGACCACAATTTTGATTGTCGAAAAAAGTTTACATAAAGCATGTCTGAACCCAAAGCGGGCCCCTAACACAAATGTGTAGATAACTTCTGTGTCCATTGTCAAGAATTGGAACTAAGGGCATGTCCTTTTAAGCATTATTTTCTATTTTAGGCTGACAATTTCATTTCAGACAAAATGCGTTTCCTTTGCAGAGTCGTATGTTTTACCTTAGTGGTCTCCATTGCGGCTAATGGTAAATCAAATGGAAATGTCCTTCTGGAATCGGAACGGTACGAATCGGAGCAATCCGTTGAGGAACGTGCATTAACGTTAACTCCTGCGGTATCCAGCGCCATCGCCGCCAGCCTACAACATCTCTCCAGCGCTCTCCATCACCTGAACCTTACAGCGCTGAAACATTTAAATCTTACAACACTGGGACGCCTCTCGTTAGTACTATTTTTCTTTAGAAATCATTGAGTTTATGATATATGTCTGAATAGTTTAACAGTAGGCTTTGTTTGTCTACGGCTAACTTACAAATATGTTAAAAAAATTTTAAACTCAGAATTTTATAATGTAAAGTAAAATATTATATATCTCATGTCTTCTTTCAATTGTTTAGTCCTGTCACTTTACATGGAAATGCCACGTAAGTATCCTTAAATCATTTTGTTTTTCTAAGGAGCAGTAATGCGATCCATAACATCTTTATTCACAGTTTAGCTTCAGATTCATTTAAATCTAATTTTTTCAATAAATGATAATTATTATATATTTTCGACGAATACATCGAGATACATACTTTTATTCAAACATATTGGTTTAAAAAAGATTTCATGAATGTTTTATATTTAAAACAATTCATATCAACACACCATATCGAGAGTAGTGAAAACTTGTGGTGTCGTATTCATACCCAAGAGAATGTCTGTAAATATAGTGCTGTTCTTTTGGCTCATGCATTGGTTTAATTTCCATTCTTGGATCGCTTAACTGCATTATAGTTTACATTATTTCTGTTTCTTAATTGAGATATGAGGCTTCAATTATGCATTATTCCAAACCACTCAAGCTTAAAAAAGGAGGAAAACATTTGTCTGAATACGAATTTTCTTATGTCGAAATATAAAGCATTGTAAAGGATCATATCACTTTAATGAAAAATCACTGTTCTGCAAAAACCGCGCATGCTATATTTCAATACATATAAATTAGAAGTTCCATTTTCTTATATTTTTTCTATTTTGATCTTTTCGTGGTGAAAAATACATACAATTGAATGCTAATTTTGATATATTCAAGAAACCATTGGTGTTGCAATACTGCTACGACTAAAAAGATAGTTAAAAGCCACTCACAGCTGATATTCACGAAGCAGATAAGGGACCGAGTTACACATCATCACTGTGGATTTCTGGGATTAAGTCGCTGTGCAAGACATCACTACTACTACATGTATATAACCTTTGCATATGCTTTTTTGGTCCCAAATACGATTATCGTTCATATTAAAAATACAACATTCAGAAATTCTTTCTATTCTTTATGTATCCCTTAATTTCCATTAAACTTGTGCTTACATTAATCAAACAAATATTGTGTATGTATATATTACTCATTATTGAACGTTTATGAATTAGATCTGTGCCAGCTTATAAGACGATGTATACCAGTCATACTATACACACCACGTGCCCCAGTCAAAACCTGGTCTGTTGTAAGGACTACCTTCTGTTGGCTGACAACTGTGTTCGTAAGTATAAATCTATATGATATTAGTAAGCACACATGTATATTTTATACACTTCATTATTCATTTCGTAGAAATCTATTTTTACTTGTAAGTATGTAGAGGATATGCAATGATTTGTAGATGGACATGGAATTTATTTCACGAATGGGACAGGATTTCTTGGGTATTTTGAGTGCGAAGCATTAATCCAGATTTTAATTGTTTTAGAATGTTGAAGAAATTTCTGTTTTATTGTATAATCAATTGCCGTTTATAGTTTTATCTAGGACTTGCAGAAAAAATGTGAAATTTAAAATCGAATAAAATAAACACTTCTTTCTATCTAGCGCTGAGCGAAATTCCAAATATAAAAGATGACCTCATTAAACTACACAACGCCAACATTCCAGTTGGAAAATAGTTCCTTGGGTCAAATCCCAAATGGAAATAAACATTTTCTTTCAATTTGTTAATTTGTTGTTATAGTTAATGTTGATACATATACCCTTATCACCTGCATATGGGGTGTATATCTCTCAGTTGATTCAATACGCAAGAGCATGCTCTGCTTATGAACAATTTCTAAAACGAGGTAAGTTATTGACAAACTAGTTGATGAAACAAGAATATCAACAGTCTCGTTTAAATTCATCATTTCGTAAGTTCTATGGTCGATACAATGACCTTGTCAGCAAATACAATCTATCATTAAGTCATATGTTGACTGACTTTTTCATACTAATTGTTTGGCGATCATTTACACACTGGATTGTTGACGGATTTTCCCGTTATTTCCCGATCATGACAAGGAGCACACGGCGGGCGTGACTGGTCGGCAGGAAATGCTCACTCCTCCATGGCACCTGATCCCACCTCTGATTTTTTGGAGGTCCGTGTTTTCTCTGCTTCCGATTTGTATTGTTTTAATGGATATGAGCTTGAAAACTGTTCGTTATCTCCATATTTCATGACAAAATCTTTGTATTCATTACTTTAGTTTGAAATGTGTCCGACATAAAAAAAAACAATTAATTTTTGATCATTCACATTAAGAAACATGCCTAGAAACCTGATGTTGATAGACCTACCCTCAATCTTTCTTTATTTGACCTCCATTTGTTATCTCTTAATCATGTGACTTAGGTGATCGGTGTTCAAAAACAAACATCAGAATCATAAAATAGAATGTTTTAAGTTACATAAAATCTCATTTTAAGCGATTTATAGCAGGCGGGAAAATGGCCTCGTAGAGAATCGTCCTCTAAATGATGAGTTTTGTTTTCGTTATATTCTTAATATTTTACTCCAATTAAACTAAAGAATTAGGCATTTAATCACTATACTGATAATTGTTAGTATAATGCCCTCAAGCTTTGCATTGCATTGGTGCAGAACATTTTTAATTAATGGAATAATTTGATTTCTAATTTTTTGGTATGAGTTGATATTCTTCGTCCTAAAACACACCAAACATAAATGAATCAATTATAATTATAATCTAATAAGGATACCAAGAAATTATTACACAAATTATCACACAAGATGTAGTGGGGTTATTATCGTATAACATCCGACTACAAATAAAAATTCAAGGAGTTAACAAGGAAAATTACTGTCGATGCTATATTTTTCTAATATCTGTGGTTTTGGCGTTATACATGTAATGTGTGGTATTTTAATAAAATTGATTACAAGATAGTTTGGGGATTGGTATAGTACTTTATTTACACTTCTAAATGAAGACAAAGATATAATATCAAATAAATATACTAATTATTATGTTCTTTTCTTATTCTAAAAAATCCATCGTATTGTGCAGTGTGTAAAGAACAAAGCAGCAGGAGATAGTCTGAGCAGATGAACAAAATGCTATATTTTCTATATGCTTTACATTCTTTTGGAAGGAAGGCATCTGCACAAGGCACTTGAATAAAAATGACCAGATTTCTAATAATTAGTGTTCAATATTATGAAACAATTCATTGAGTTAAATTGGTGAATTTAAATGACTTCAGACTGCTAAATTTGCACTTGACTAATGCTGACTTGTAAATAAATTCTGATAAATATTTACGATTGTTTTTTTGGCTTAATACCTCCCCTTTCCATAAAATCTTGAAAGAATTAATAAATATTCGGCTTTTATAAATTTTAGATTCATTCCTCGATGTACAAAATAATTTATATAGTCAATCCTACAATGTATAATAAATGTTATACAATATCAGAGATTTATTTAATATAATTTTTGTATATAACTCGCTTTTTGAGAACATATTCGTGCATTAGATCAGTTTCAGCTTATAAAACGACAAAAAGGAGTGAAACCATCCATTTCCTGATCTGTGGTAAGGAATTCATTCTGTTGGCTGACAACTGTGCTAGTACGTACACTTCAATAAACTAATTGTTTTTTTTTTTTTTTTTTTTAATTTTGAAGAATAATTTTCAATCAATACTCCGTAGCATAAAGATTATCTAGGAATTATAAAGTATTTGAATTGAATTTTTATAATTAAATTATTAATGAAAGGGGGATCGAATAAATATCTATAGGGTTTTTTTTCATAGTATAGTATGATTTTTCTTTCAGATCTGAGCGAAATCCCAAATATGAAATATTTCGTAAACAAGCTACAACACCAACATACGGAAAATAATTCCTTGGGGAAAATTCTAAATAAGAAATAAAGTAAATGTTCTTTTTCTACTTTGCTAACAATCTTTGTGATACAAATTAAAGTCAGATCTTAAAAGTGAAATGTGTATATTTATTTATTTATTGCATAAAAAACTAAATTAGTATCATAAATGTTTCAATTTAGTTTCAGTTGTACAAAAAAATATGCATCCTGATAAAATTTGATGAGATTTTTGGTAGTGTTGTATTCTAATTTGAGGATATTTTATTGTAATAAAGGCCCCTCACAATATGGGTTGTATATGTACATGATCACAATGTCAAAGATCAAGACTTCTTACAATTTGGTTTGTACATGCACAAAGTTTTGCACAGTTAATAGATTAAGCTGATAATTGATACAATTTTCGGTTTCAAGCTTTGCATCGCATTGGTATATGAAATATAAGTTCAATTTATAAAAATCATTATTGCTTTTTTAAGCAATTTTGATGTGTAATGTGATAATGTAATAATTTACATCCGTAGTATTTTTGTATTTCAATAATGCATTCTGCTTAAAATATTTGGTATTTTAATAAAGCTGATTACAATATAATATTGATGACATTCTCCAAGCATTGGTATCTAATTTTATTCACAGCCACTGAAAGAATAAAAATTGATAAATTCACAGCCACTCAATTAAAAGAAAAATCAAATTATTATATTAATTATTCTTATACACATACATCAAATCAGACAGGTTATCTACTAGGGTTGTTTGGTAAAATCGTGGACAACGCGTGTTTTTTGAAAATAACGAGCGCAGTTTATTTATCATATTTGAGTTCACCAATTTTTTGATAAAAAATAGACAATAATACAGATTTTATTATACTTGAATATGCATAGGGTATGGTCCTATGACACTCGGGCAATAAAAATCAGGGTTACATTAGAGAATACGCGACTAATATTTCGAAATAAAGATATTACATAGATAAAGTTGGGATAAATACCATTTTGTAAAATCACTGTATATTATGTCGTTAGGAAAATTCAAGGTATTTCCTTAATTTCCGGCAGTTTCTCGAGCATTTGAAATGAGAAAGTTGTAAACACAACAAACGAAAAAAATGGCGATGTTTGATGTCTTTATGGTACACCGGAGAGCAAGTTAGTTTTATGTACGTTTAGTATTGACGCCTTTACAGACTCTAAATGAATAAGAGGATAACAATTTTACTAGATATTAAGTAAACAAGTGGAATGGGCGTTTGTAAGCGGAAGCATTTTCATGGAGTCTCAGGGGGAGAATAAAGAAGTGGCAATAAGAAAGACGTTATCACTGTGGACCAATGAAAAAAGTTTGCCTTTTTAGTTCAATGTAGTAAGAATATTGTCAATAACTTTCTACTAAAAATTCTTCAGAAGGCCCGAAGTCCAAGATTGTTCCGTTCCCTCGCGTTTTTATAGAAAAATATAGGGGATTCCGAGTGTGTGCATCAGTGAAATTCCTGAAAATCGAGCTTATCCCATATTTTTTAGCAAAGAAAACATGAGTTTAAACACTTCGACTTTAATATCCTTGCGCTGTAGGCGATACCACACATAACATAAATTCCCTTATTTTGTTTATTTGAGCATATATACATATATCTATTTGAAACTTGGTATGTTTATTGATGAAAATACTAAAGAGAAGTGAAAATTTAAGAAAGCAGTGTTGATTATTTTTCTCTCTAGACAATTTCCAATCTTTTACCAGACAACCCTCATAAATATTGTTCTAGGTAAACGATTTGATAATATTTTAGATGAAAGAATTGTAGAACATACCCACAAGTTCTTGTGCAGTGTGTATGGGCAAAGCTGTAGGTAACATGGGCAGGTGAACAAGATCCTAGATTTTTATATGATTGACATACTTTTGGTGGGAAGGCATCCGCACAAGGTACTAAAATAAAATTACCAGGTTCTATATAATCTATATCAAACTCTCATTAGTGTCAATTCATGGATAAAAATTTTTATTAAAATTGATGAATTCAAATCTTTTACGACTTTTACTTTTGCAAATGACCCAATGCTAATTTATAAATAGGATTTAAATAACTGTTTACAAATTTCTATGCCTTTGTAGTTTTCCACAAAATCTTTGAATACTTGTAGTATCATCTCCCAATATCAGAAAAAAATCTTTACATACTTTGAGTTGTCGTTCTTACTGGGGCCAAATGAAGATCGTCAATACTGATATATCCTCCCTTATACAGAGTAGTTATGAGATTAGCAGTGGCTTGAGACATGGCTAGCTGTAATGTACGTAATAGTTTAATAATAAAGAGAATGATAGAACTGTTAGATACCTAGCTTTTGGCAGATTTAATATATATATATATATATATATATATATATATATATATATATATATATATATATATATATATATATATATATATATATATATATATATATATATATATATATATATATATATATATATATATATATATATATATATATATATTACTAATTATAACATTTCCATTTAGTATATATGAAAAACATAATCACCTCTAATTCTTTCCTTAAAAAAAACTTTATCAGTTCCGCAAATAATTACTATAACCTACCTCTGGTGTCTCCCCAAAGCCAGCCACTACGATACCTGTGGCGATATCCTTAATAGACACTGTGGTTCCTCCACCACTTACTTTTACTCCGCGACCCATTATGGTGGTCTATAATTTTTGTTGAATTTTAATTAGTAAAATCATATTTTAAAGTTCTTTTTTTGAGTGTAACTTCAAGCTGCAATGCCCGTTTAAATTTAAATCATCACATTATGCTAAATTATTTCTCTGACTTATGCCAGATTGTTACCTCCTCGAAAAAAAAACCCAACATATACTTAAGTTCAAATAATCCCAGTAACCCAATGCTGTTAAAAACAAACTTTGCCTAAGTAACGTGTATTCCAGAACCCTGAATATAATCTTTGAAATTATGAATGATTGCAATTGACATCGTTAATAAATTGATAAATTGATGTCTTTCATTTCATGGGATAGATACTTACATATGGACTCTCACCAAATAACGTATTCAATAGGTAATCACCAGCCGTGCTGACAAATTTCGTGACTTGTTCACCGAGAGCTTGTCCAAAGGCTGATGCCACAATGGCTTGAACTTGCCGTCTCTGTGGAGCCCCATTAACAGAGATCAATATAGCCAAGAGACACACGCAGATGAAGAATCCTTAAAGTATAGCATTCTTGAGTTATTTTTTTTAAATCAAGGAATTCATTCAGCAAATACACAAGAGAATATTTGTTTTTTTTAAGTTTCCAAAGTTTTTCAGTATCAGTTGTTTTAAATGCAAATGTACTACAGTACGATAGTTAAAACCTTAAAATCTTTGTTCTGCAATATAGTTTCGTTATGAAGTTTTGATGAGGGTCTAAGATGCAAATAAAATTTGTCATTAACGCTCGCTACAAATAATGCTTTATCATCAGTCTGTCGTCTATAAACCTATAATCAGCAATTAGAATAATTTGTTCTTAAGTTAGAAAAAATATATTAAAAAAGATAAGCCAAAAAATATAATCTTAAATTGTGACACTGAAACAAACAGAAAGAATAAAGAGAGTAAGAACGATAGAGACATACCTGTTATTTTCATACTGACAATTATTACGATGAAAATGTCCTTAGTGATTATACTATAACGTCAAACAGAGGACGAATAAAGATAAGCCAAACAGATCTAAAGAAACCATTCTAGGTCAAAGTCAATGTATCACAATTTATGGTTAAAAATTTTAGCTTTAATGGAAGCGTTTCAAAATATTGTATATCAAAAGCCAATGCAACTAAATGTTGTACATGTAGAAAAACGAAAAGAGATATTTCTTCCCTTTCCCATCTAACCTTGATTATGATATTATGACAATACTGACATAATATGAATTTCAAAGTTATGGAACACTTTTATGTTTTGACTACAACATATTCAAGTTTGAAGTTATTAAGATATATTGTTTTTAACTTATAATGGAGAGAGGACTACCTGAATTTTTGGAACTTGTGTCCAATCCCGTTGACATATATTGTCAATAAAATAGGTCCAAAATAGACAAAACATTATTTCTGTAAACACCTTGTGAATGATAACATACTGAAGTTTAATTTCTTTACAATCAAGGGTTTAAGAGGTATGGCCGACATCATTGTCCATATACATCGAATTTTCTATTTCCCCATGAGTCTTTTCGGTCATGGGCAATGTGCAAAATTTGAATTCATTCCGATCATATGTCCTAGAGTTACAATGGGACACAATTTATAACAAACAGGCATACCACAATGGCTAACAAGATGTTTCCTAGTGCTGGAGGAGACATAAAAAACCATATCTTTGGATTTCAAAACTGATAAGACCTGACAACAGTCAATATTATACAAATGGATAATGGTTTTGATTTACCTCTTACTCTTCTTCCCAGCTAGAACGGTCACAGTAGCTTAGTGGTAGGATGTTCACTTCATGACTGGGAGGTACCGGGTTCGATTCTCTTTTCTCGCGCCGAGTCAAATCTTAGATGTTAACATACCGGTAGGTGGTGACTGTTCCATCGGCATGCTCTTGGCTTTAGAAGTAAAAGTCTAGGGTCTTTCGGATGAGACCTTAAACAGCGAGGTCCCGTGTCACTGTAGGCGTTGTTACGATCCAGATCCTCACTGTTCAATGGCCCTGAGTGCTGAGTATAGGTCTTAATTCAAAGCCGTTCACCAGCGTTCGGTGACATCTCTACATAAGTGAAAAATTCTCAAAAGGGACGTTAAGCAACAATCAATCAATCAATCTTCCCAGTTAGAAAAAGAATAAAAAAAAAAATAAACAGGCATCCCCCGTGTACATTTTAGTTAAGAATCAAATTTTATCTGATCAATTCTCTATTCTTCATTTCTTTTCTCATAGATTCATAATGAAAAGTGCTTATATTTTAATTCCCAGACTTTACATTCTTTTTTACCTTCACACATTTCCCAAGAACATTTTTTGTATATTTTATTCAAATATGACCGCGTGGTTTGGGTCTAAAAAGATGTGTTGTTGATCGGGCAAGAGGGAATGTTGGCAGGGAAATGAGTGGCGCTATGGGCCGGAAGTAGTAAAGCCGTATTCCTAGGGCTCTTCCTGAAAACACATATAAAAGTCCAAAGTAACGAGGAATTGGTTTCCGTATTTATTAACAAGTCCCAACGATGGAAATGATTAACATGGAACAACAATAAACAGTAACCAGTTCGATATGGCCATAGCCTCCAAATTAAAAGTAGAAATAGTTAGAACATGATGGGGAACGAGTCGGACGTGGCCGGTAGTACACCCGGCCTCCGAACTGACAAGTAAAATTTGACAATGGTATTTAAGAGGAATTGAACAATGAGTTAAAAATGACAGGTGTTGACAACGAGTAAAAGTGATACAGGTAACAATAAATGAAATGCTTTGATGGCATGGACATAAAGAACACCGATAATTAAATAATTACATAATGTTTGTATAAGGGATTAAAAGGTCCTTGGGCATTAACACTCTGCCCCTTTGTCAGCCGACAAGTGTCACTCAGTAATTATATGAACACTTAATAAGTTAACGTGAGAAAAATTTGTAAAATGCAAATTTTAAAACCAAGTAATTTCAGAATATCAAATATCACATTAAAACAAAAATTAAATATAACATTTAGAGTCCAAGATGAATTATGAATAAAACAGTCAATTTCACACGGTGATACAAACTTTAGGTCTAATATTACTATTCTATCCATCAGTTCTCTAGGTTTTGTAGGAGTAAATAATAGGAAAGAAAAACTGAACCGTCAGGGAATTTGGTTTTGAAATTACAAGTGAAAAAAAGAAAACAAAATCATGTAAAACAAATAACATCCCTCCTAAAACAGAAAAAAGCAAAACAAAAAGTCAACCAAACAAAACAAAACATTTAGTGGGTGAAGAGGAACTTTCATAAGTTGTATTTCATCAAAGCAAATAATTATAATATGCAATAGTGTGTTTTTCAAAAAATAGTTATCCTTTATATATTTGAACATTCTCCTTCCAAAACGTGTTCTCAGAAAGGAGAATTTCTACATGATGGAGTAGGAGTGAGCAGATTGAATATTTCCAAATAACATTTAAACCTCTATCAGCGAAATAAAAAAAAATCTAGAAAATGATATCAAAAGGATTGGGCCCAGTATAGAGCTTGGATTCACCATTTCGATCAAGAGTCAAAGTCCTACAATGAGCAGTAGTCCACCCATAATTACATTCAACCAATTTGCATAAGTAGGCAATATAATAACCTTATAAAATCTTCCCACATCCATTCTTTTCGCTATACCTTGCACTTTAGAGTTTCATCTCTTTGAAAACTCAATTTTATTAAAGAAAGCTTGCCAGCGACGATGAAGTAATTGATGCTCTAAAGAACTTCAGTCTTCGGTGACAAAAAAGAAAATTTCTGTCGGGGGGTATCAGCAAAATGGAATGCCGCTGGAAAAAGTGTATTTAATTTAAAGCAGCAATATTGAAAAATAATAATTCCTTTTTGATTTTACAATACTTTCTATACGAGGCGAACTGCAAATCTGTAGCTCGCTGGTCTGAAAAAATTGGGATGAACGACCAGAGAGCTACAGTGCCACCCATTGAAAAAAGTGTGTAATTATTGCGCACAAAAAAGTGCGCTGTTTCTCGATTTATTTCACCGTATATTTAAACTGCCATCTCCAAATATTACAAACTGTGTGTTCCTAACATATTTTTTGACTACTTCCACAATAAAACATTTCCCAAAACCGTTGTTAATAGTCCTCCTGGGCCTGAAATTGAGACCATCGAAAATTTCGCCTACCTATATTACCATCATGGGTGGCAAGACGATTCGGTCAAACGCACTTCGTATATGACTTTTACATACAGTTTTGTTGTGGAAGTAGTAAAAGAATATGTTAAGAACACACGGTTAGTAATATTTTTATATATACGGAGTGATAAATAATAAATAAATCGAGGAATAGCGCACTGTTTTGTGCGCAATAAATATGCACATTTTTCAATGGGTGGCACTGTAGTTCCCTGGTCGTCTTTGCCATTTTTTCAGACCATGCGAGCTACAGATCTACAGCTACGAGGCGATAAATTTATTAATTAAACCTCGCATAATACTATCTGAATCTATACCGCAATAATAACAAACTGGATTTGATCGATGACATAGGAATAAATTCTTGCTAAAATAAATAAAATAATTTGTTTTCACGAAAATTTATTGCTATTAAGAAAAATTACATTGCTTATTATTATTATCCAAACAGATAAAATAATATTTCGATATTTTAGTTTAATAAACATACATAGAAATTCTTTTTGTTTTTATTAAACATGTACCAGTAAAATGGTTTTCTGAAAGATTATCAAAATTAATATATGGATCATTATTGATCAAAATTCTTCGCAAATATGTTGCACATCTTCAGTGGGTCAGAAACATAAATGTGAAATAAAACAATATCCAAATCTCTTTATTTACATTTTCTGTTAAATCCATATTTATCCAACGACAACTCCGCCATTATGTAGATTGATGAGGTCGTCCTTTATATTAGATATTTCACTTAGAGCTGTAAAGAAAAAACAAAGAACATATTGAGAAGTACTTTAATAATGCTTTATGTAATTCAATGAACAAAATAGCAGTGTTTACTGTTTTTTTTTTTTCCTATCATGAAAGTAATCTGTACAAAAATGGTGGAAAAGCAATATAAGTATTTAGTTTTATCTTTAAAAACTAAAAAAAATTGCATCAATTTCGTTTATTCCAGCCAGGCATATCAAAGCCATATTTTGGCATGTTTAACATTAGGAGTTTCAATTTGTTATATGATGCCAAAGATTTTATGTGTAATTTAGAATTTGATTTGGTTTCTTATGATCCCCTTATTATTTTTGTTTACCTTTTCATCATAATCGATATTTTAATTTTCAATGCTGGTGTTTTTTTTGTTTTTGTTTTTTTTTTAGTGGCCCGACTTCATCTTTAAAATAAGCTCAGTAGCCTTTCCTTCGTCGGTATATAAAAGCAACAAAAAGATATGTATTTAGTCCTCAGAAATTAAAAACAATTCAAACAGGGTACATACGGACACAGCTTCCGGCTACTAGAACATATCCTTTACAGCAAACTAAGTTTTTGTTTGGACAACTGGTGTGAATGACTTTTACGGAGTATGTTGTTTTGTATTGCGGTACTGAGCTGCAACATATACAATATATCAGACATTATGACATACATGCAGGTCTTATTCGAAATTATTTAGAAATTAAAAAAAATATTGTAATATAAACTCAATACGAATTTTTGGCGTGTAATTGTTTCATACATATAGTAGTAGTGATGCCTGGCACAGCGGGACAGTCCCAGAAACCCGCAGTGATGATGAGATACACGGTCTCTGATCTGTTTGGTGTACAGGAGCTTAGAGTGTGTCTCTGTGATTTTCTTTGTCGTGGCAACGTTACAACACCAATGAGCCCTGATAGTCATGATTGAAATGGAAGTAAAATGATAGTGTAATCAGTTAAGATTTTTTAAAAAAAAATTTTACAGTGTATAACTTACAGTGTATTATTTAGAAAAAGGTTTTTTACATGTACGTTACAAGATTATAACAAAGAAAATTAGGAAGTGGAAGGTTGGCTTGTTTTATATATAAAATAGAGGTAAAAAGAATTACAACTTCTTTATACACACGTTGCATTTCCATGAAGAGTGACTGCTCGAACAAGACGTTGAGCCTTTTCTGGTAGGTCCAAAATATGCATTTTACCGAGAGCCTCTTTTTCTTTTTCACTGAGGAACTCCAGTGGATCACATATTATAAGCGTAATGCAAAAATAAAAACACAAAAATCGTAACATTTTGACAAGTTAATAAATTTTCAAAACTTGCTCACAATTTCGTAAACTACACGATAAACAACGAGTGATTCCGTAAGACTAGGAGAAAATCAGATGTATAATAGGTCATCACGTGTGGTTTTCCCATGAAGACGCTTATATCAAAGAAATTCGTAATACCAAGATATGATAACAGCATTTCAAATTACAGTATGTTGCACATAGAGATTATTTTGAATAGTTTTATTTGTTAATTGAAGCACTAATCCATTAATTTGTACTTAAGTAATGAATCCAAAGATTAAAACTGTCGGGTATTTTATACTGTAGCAGGCTTTTCGTTATTGCATTTGTTTGTTCGTTCGGAATGCTATCGTCTTTATGTATTTTGCCATAGCAACCATTGACCACCAATAAAAAATATTACAATCTTCTTATAACATATTTCAAGGATCTTACTCTTCATCATCTTTCATTGTCATGGTTTTCCTCTTACCTAGTTGATGCTCTATTTTATTTGGTATTATGTTTAATTTTAATTTATTTGTTTGTTTGTTTGTTTAAACCATACCATATTAAGAGTGGGACTTTGTGAAAACATTTATGCCATTACTTTTTTAGGCAAGTAAATTATTTAGTAGCAAAATTGTATAATATATAAGCCTTTTAAAATCCTATCTTACGCAGGTAAACGTTGTTGCTCTTCGCCTCTTGCTATTTGTTTATTGATACTTCTATAGAATAAATAATGTATTTATTGTATTTGAAAGAAAGATTGATTGATTGATTGTATGTTGTTTAACGTCAAATTTGAGAATTTTTCACTCATATAGAGACGTCACTATATACCGATGAAGGGCTTCAAATTTTGACCTCAGGGCCATTGAGCAGTGAGGGATCTTTATCGTGCCAACGCCTGCTGTCACACGGGGTCTTTGTTTTTAAGGTTTCATCCGAAGGACCTGCAACTTTCACTTCAAAGTGCCGAGTGCATGGCGAACTTGTATTAAATTGCCTTGGTTTGATTAATTGTTTTACGTCCTTTGCGAGATATTTTTTCTCATATGAGATGTCACCATATCCTTTATGCGACAAAGGGGCCAGTGGAAAGTGAGGTTTATCATGTCAGGACCTTGGTTTTATTATCTCTTCCGAAAGACCCGTGACTTTCACTTCTAGTACCAGACGCTTGGCGAAGGAATAGTCACTACCTATGTTATTGTCTTAGGTTTGACGAGGTGCCGGGAAGAAGAATCGAACCCGGTACCTCCCGATCACAAAGCGAACGCCCTATCACTAGGCTACCGCTACTGGTCCCTTGGTTTGATATTATAATCACTTGTCATGTTTTAAAAAAAATATTTCAAAACAAGGAAAGTCATTTGGGTTTAATGTTTCTAGTTATTCAAGAAATTCAGCTAAATTTTTATATGTATATCATATGATTGTCTTAATTATACACTATTATTAAAACGTGTACTGTCCTGAATTCTTAATATTTTCAGAAAGGGTTGATGTACATTTATCGGCATTTTCATTTAAAATATTTAGTGGAAAAAGGAATACGCGTATTTATATAGAATGGTGGTCTAGTAAATTTGAAGAAATCAAAATCATTTCATAATAGTATTAATGGTGATACTTGTATACTAAAGACATGTTATGAGGATATAATAATGGAGAGTAATTACATGTAGTAAACATAAATTTGATTTTCTGGGTCAAAATTAAACGTTTTCTGATACTGAACGTTAGGTAATTAAACATCTCTTTGAAACATTTGTCAGATGTAAAATAAAATTTTATTATTGGACTTTAACAAAGAATAGAGTCGTGTTCATAGACATGCACATGGTTTCGTAACATCACTTAAGTTTTGCTAACTTATAACTAATCAAAATAAAAGTACACTCGCATAGGGTAATTGTCATGTTCTTAGGGATATAAACATTTTAAAAACATAATTCAGTTTCAGCTATTCATGTTTGCCTTTAAGATGAGATTTTATAATTCTAATGGTAAAATAATTGAGTATACTTTTGATATCTCATCAGGTCTAAAATTTTACATTCTCTTTTTATTCCGTTTTTTTTTTTTTTTTTTTGTGTGTGTGTTTCACTGTTTGTCTTATAATCCACTTTTAATCAGCCGAAATGTACGTAGTATATCCACAAAGCATTGATAAGATTTCAAGCGACAAGGGAGTATTATAGTGCTATATTAGCTAGTATAGATATGTCGACAATGCTGAAATACATCGCTTTTGCATTTCTTGGAGTCATAATAATTCAAGGGGCACATATTAATAGGAATCGACGCACCGGAACCGCGTAAGTCATTATTATTTCAATTAGTTATTAAACTTTAATTTTTTATTCTCTGGGGAAAGCATGTTATCAAAATGTTTTGAAAGATTACCAGAGATGAGTTTGGTAATTCCGCTCTAAAACCTTCAATATGCAAGTACTTGATTTTTCTCGTTGCTTAGGGAACACTGGTGCTGTAGTGTTGATGTTGCCCCAATAAGGAAAAACGTTACTACAATCGACGTAGAACCTAGACAGGTTACAAAAATAGTAAACACTACTTACCAGAGGGACTGTCACTTTGGGGAGACGCCTACTATCGCGGAAGGACTTCTCTGTGAGGATATCGTCAGCCATGTTGTGTATGGTTTGTTAGAATGCTTTCTTAATCTGGAAATAAGATGGGAGGGGGAGGGAGGGATGCTCCAAAAGAAATTAGTCAATATAAAATTAGTAAAAAAGCTAGAGAATTCGTATAAAAAAACATGCATTTTTATTTAAAAAATATGAGTAAGAATATTTCTATTTTAGAACTACGACCGAATTAGTGGAAGTAAATAAAACAGTGGTAGTTGAGTACCCTGGAAGATGTCCGCAGCACTACCTCCACTGCTGTGATGGATATGAAAAAGTAGGATCTCAGTGCCTAGGTATGATTGCAGTTTAGAGTTCTTTCTCCAGCGAAAACTGTTCTTAATATTTGAAAAGTAATCAAAGAACGTTTTGATTAACTTTTGTGATGTACTTGTACCCTGTAATACTTTGATTTTTTCCCCTCAAAAATATGGTATTGCAATATTCCTTACATCCATGTTAATACATATTTTTAAAAATTTTTGGCTCATATCAGCACTAATTCAGCACTAATTCTTACTTTTTTTATTTGTTTTTCACAGACAAAGGAGCATCAAGTTCCTTGCAAGAACTCATTGACGCTGGGCTACTTGGATAAAAGTTATATTCATATTCATATGTGCAAATTAACAATAAAGTACTCAGATACGTTTTTTTGGCTTTTGTCTAATAAAGCAATGTATATTAAAAAGACGACACCTCTTTTCAAAGTTCAATATTTAGAATAACTTTGGTTTAGAATAGTCTTTGGTTTATGAAATCAAATGTTGCTTACAATTTTTTTTCATTCGAAAACTCAATATTTCAAAAGCAGTTTAAATTTGCAAAATGATGAATGAAAGTAAACAGTCAAAAATTGCATGTCTTTGATACATGTACCTCTCCATGATAAATCTTGACTTTGTTTAATTTTGTTATACCGACAACAAGACTTTTTTTCTTTTAAAAAAGTACAATATAATTGACTTTGGCATTTGGCAAGCAGAATTACTTTCCTTCTGATTCCAACTTACTTTCTCTCTCAAAAGAAAGAAACTAAATCCTTATTTAGTGCAGTGTATACTGTTTAATAAGGCTACAATTTAAAACTTGGAAAAGAAAATTATAAGAAAGATTATGCACGATGAATACTCCAAGTCTTGATTTCTAGAAATAATTTTTTTAATGTAAAAGATGAAAATAATGAACAGTGATCAATCTCATAAATCCAGTAAACAAAACGAATCGTGAACAGGGCAAGAACACGAGGACGGATCAGGTGCCTAGGAGGAGTATACATCCCCTATACCGATCACAAATGTATTGATCAGGTAAACTGAGTACTACGTAGTCAAATTTAGTATTAAAGCAATAACCTAACAATGGGTAAGAAATATGTCAGACAAAATACGACCAAATAGGTTGTATCACAAATATGGTCAGCATTAGAATTTACAAAAAGCTGACGTTTATCTGGGTTGTTGAAATCCCTGTTACATCAACTTCTTTATCAGTAGCTTGCTTCGGTTTAAAAATTGATCATATTCAAAGCATGTTTTTGCGCATCAAATCAGTTGGAAGACAAATACCTTATGCAGTGATTCTGGGATATTACTACTAAAGAATATCCCCTCCTCAGCCAGGAACGATAATTCTAAAAAATTATTATTTAATTTAAAAAGTCTTAAACGAAGCTTGAAATTAGAAAATATTTTCGTGCAACAATTTTCATTTCATACGTCTTAATATGATATATATAATATATATATATATATATATATATATATATATATATATATATATATATATATATATATATATATATATATATATATATATATATATATATAATATAGAATATAAGATTCTTTGAAGTCTTAGAAACCGTCTTGTAAAACAGTTGACATTTGTACCCCATAAAAGTACAAAAATAATACTTTTTTAAGGAAATCAAATTTCTTTCAATCTATCCTTAGATACCAAAGCTTATAATCATGATATGAAATTAGAAGTGATTCGTAGTAACTTGCAATGATAGCACAAACTTTTTACTTGAATGTATCTTCAATTACAATAAACAGAAAACTAAAATATTGTAGAAGTATAAAAAATGTGTAATTTTCTCCAAATGCCTCGACACCAGTAGTATTTTATCTTAAGATGTATTTGTTGATCAATTTTCAACTAGAAAGTGCATAGCTGTGCTTTTATTTCCTAAAAAAACATTTTTGAGATTTAATAACTTTGGTTATAATTATAATGATAAACTTTGAAGAAATATCGTGGATAAATACACATTACTTTGTAAATTTCGAGACATTTTTGTGAGCATTTTCAATTACTTAACTGCTCATTTTTAGGAACCGAGGCTTGCACTGCCTAAAATAAGGGAAGGTGATAGTGAAACACTGAAGTCATCCGTTTGTTTTACAGTGTTTAATCATTAGTTGACCATTATCGTCTATAGTTAGTAAAACATCCAAATATGAAAGAGATTAGGAGACCTGTAGTATCTTTTATTTCCAGTTCAATGGGATATATCTAGGCGACATATGAATGAAAATAACTATTGTTAATCGATAAAACGCTGTCGATATATCAAAACGTTGAGTTGAAGGCCACAGCAAGAGATTTCTTCTCCTCATGTAGAAGTCTTTGAATAAATTCTACTTAATAAATATATAAATATATATATAAAATATAAAAACAAGGTCAGCTAATAAAGGAGTACAAAGTGCACAACTGAATTCCAACAAATTGTTGGAAGACTTGGTCTCCAAAGAATACAAAGATATTGTTAATGAGGGTCTCTAGCATCTTTTTAATATCAACTTCAGAGTACCTGTGAATACAGAATCAGAATGATTTTTAACAAAGTATTTTGTTGACGACCAATCACAAGATGTGAAAAATTACCATTTTTATTGAGAAAGCAAGAAAGCAGTTATCTATGATGTTAAAAAAGCCTGCTCTTTAATTTATTGTGAGAAATGGTTGTATAAAGCGTAAAAAAAGTCATATGTTTTGATGCTACTGATGTTTGACAATTTTTTTTAAAGAATCCACCAATTCTTGAATATTTTGTAGCATGTCTTCTTTCTTCTTCACAGTAGTTAATATTTTGGTGAGGAATAATGATAAGGGATTTGGTTGACCTTTTACTGGACCCTGCAATATATCTTTCTTTGTAAGAATATTAATGAAGTTATAGAATCCAGTACTGTAAATCAAACTCAGTTCTATTGACTGGAATATGAAACGTTTTTAAAACAGAAAAGTGATTTTGAAAATTTTATTCTTTGAAAGGGAACTGTGAATATAGGTTGGATTACCAGATGTGGAAACCAACTTCTTCTAGAATGCAGAACTTTGTAATAATGAGCCTTACAAACAAAGACTATATTGCTAAAAGCTTTTTCAGCTGGAACCATAACATTTTTTTTCATGTAGTCTTTCTAATTCTTTTATCACTTCCGGTCTATTGAAAACGAAAGGATAGATTGTTCGCGTTTTGTTCTCTAATTTTCTAATTCAATTCTTTAATACACATGTATATCTATAACGTTTCATCCAACTAAACTATAGTCTTTTATAAAATCAATTCCTAATTGAGAAAACATTGATTCACCTCTATTAGCCAGTAAACGGACATTGAAAACAAATGCACACCACATCCACTGATTATTTTCATAAAATTTCCTACATCTTTCGTCGGAAAAGATAATATTTTCTGTAAAATACATTGTCATATTGGATCAATTAACCTGTAATATACCTATACCCTGACTCTGAACTGCATTTTCTGCGTCTCATAAAGTCATAATGATCAATTGTAAAAACATATAGTTGTTTCTTGCTTGATGTTACAATACTAGTACCTTATTAGCATTGTGAACAGTGTCGGTTCATACTTATATTGAACAAACACACAAACATGTCTTATTAACCCAAAGATTATTATTTTCCTTAATCTCAATATACAGCAATCCGTTCTATATTCAACCCAGAAGGGATACCGCAACTTCATGGAGATCTCTCAAATCTAAAAGAGAAAAAAAAAAGAACTCTAATAGGATAATTATACATGTACGTGATATGTTCATAAGATTCTGTTTTGCTGTATCAATGATTTTATCTTTCACTCTTAACTTACAAACACATTTGTATGCCACCATAATGTACATGTTGCAACAAACGATGTGTTCCTGAGGACATGAGCGTTCAACAACCTCTTTATAGTATTCAGTTACGTATGTTGTTACTGGTCTACAAAGGGAATAAAGTATTCATTTTTCAATCATAATAGAAAAATACACCCTTTTGCTTTTCCAATTCCTTGCATTCTATGAAAAGTAAAGGCACATACTTATCATGAACCAGATGGTGCCTTGCAACGGACCGAGATTTGGTAACCAATGGTAGTGGGGTATTTCTGCAGCAAAGATGTTCTCTGAAAAAAGGTGAATTTTTAAACTATATATATATATATATATATATATATATATATATATATATATATATATATATATATATATATATATATATATATATATATATATATATATATATATATATATATTATAAATTCTCTCACACACACGATAAACGTTCTGAACATACCCTGTTAGTGTGTCCCGTACAAGTCTTTGTAATGATGGTGGAAGATCACGTTCATCAGCCCTAGCCAAAACTGTTCTCTCATCATCACTTAAAGTTTCCTCAGCTCTTACTTTTCTGATGATAGGTTTCAGCGAAAAATCATCACAAAATCCGACAACAAATAAATCAAGAAATGAAACTAAAAGGAAAATTCTTCTCATGCTGGTAGACGCCATTTTCTATTACTCGAGGAGATAAGACAGTCAAGGGTCGTAGGTTATTATATTTGAATTCCATCGTAAGGACCTTTTCTTTTGGCCAAAAAATGTCGAAGATTCTTACATAATTTTTTTAAAATTAATTCTTATCAAAAAAGCTGCAGCATTCTCATATACAGAATATAAATAAGAAACTCATTTTATCCACTGATATGTATTTATTTTTGTAATTGTGGAGCATTACGCATTTCCCTTTTACAAAGTTAGCTGTAAAAACTTAATCTGATATCAAGTTGTTAATTTTGAATTTACTGGGTTAAGGCAAATAAAAGATAATGAATTGAAAATTATGTGCTTTTTATCCACCAAAAGTTAAAAATTAACAGTATGATAGTTACTTATGATATTTCAATGTTGCAGTTTGAAGAAATTGCTATCTTTGAATCGTATTTTTTTGGTTTACTGATTCAGGCATACATGTATATGGCCGTAGGAACTGTGGGAGGGGTGGGGTGATTTATAGCATTATATAGAAAACATAGCTACATTATGCTTGTACTCTCTCAATAATATTGTCCTCTTTTTTTGCTTGTTAAGAAATTTTTGATTGGCAGTGCCCCCCCCCCCCAACTGAAAATGCTTCATACAGGCATATATTAAAAATACAAAATCAGTGCCTTTTTATTTTTATGTTATTTATAACGAACTCAAACTTTATGTGCCTTGTTTACCGAGTGAACTTATCATTATCAGACAAGAACTCTGGATTATGTATGAGTGTCAACAAAAGTACAATATAGAACGATATTAGGAAGGTTTGGAAAGGATGAAGTACTGTGTCCTTACACAAACCCTACAGAACTCCAATAACAGAAGATAAGAAATTGTCCGAAAATAATGCCTGTCAGAGCCAGGATCACAATAAAACGTGTTACTTCTCACCGAGAAAACTCAAGGACACGACGGGGTTTCTGGATCATGTGTTGAATCTTTATTATGACGTTTTAGCGTTAAAATGTCAGGGACCAATTAGTGCAATCATGATACAGAGCTCTGTCTACATAAAATCATACAGATTGCTTCAAATTCGCCAAATAATGAATCTTTGAAATAAGTACATACCGAATGCACTTGTCTCGCAAAGATTTTAAGCATGCAAATAAAGGGTTACTGTTAAACGCAAAAATATTCGTTAGGAATTAAATTTCGTTTATTTCGTTGAAATTAAATCCCACACTTAATTTTATATCACTATATTCAATACGGCTACTTTCGAAACCACGAAATTAAATGCCCACGAAACATTTTTAGATGACAAGTCTACGAAGTCTTATCTCCATGAAAATTTGTGCTTTTACAGTATATCAAATGAAATCGATTAAAGTGTTCCCATCATTTTGAAATACCTAAACGTGAAATAAAAAAAGGATAATTTAAAAATCATTTATCAAGTATAAATATATACCCCGTTTTATGTTTTGTTTATCCAAACTTGTTTTAGAAGAAGTGTACAACAGCATATATAGCATTAAAATATAGCACACAGTTCCTTTAAGAATTGGAACTCTTCAACTCCAGGGAAAAAGACAATAAAGTTCAATCTACGTTGCGTATGTCCTTAAGAACATAAGTAATATCGTCAATAAATAATAAAAAAAGCTTTTTAGTTGTTTACAATTCAACAGCTTTACTCAATTTTAAAAAGGACAATGAATAACTTTTATCTCAAATGCTGTATTCTTTGATATGTTAATTCATAGAGAAATAGTTTATTTCTTTGAATTATTCAAAATAAAAGTCGCCCGACTTTTGCGATAAAATTATATTTTTTGAATAAAAAAAAATAATTTGCTGTTTGTTTTGATATCAGTAGTTACTGAAAATTAGCAAGATTTCCATGTAAATTTCTTATTCCAATTACAAGAATTATTGAATGGGCATATCTATGTTTCTGAATATTTCAATAACATGGTCTAATTATACCATTTTAAAATTTCCAAATTCAAATGAGTCATAAATACTTTTCAGTTTATCTTAGACACTTGGTAATTTGAAGAGTTCAACAGCTTACAACATAGACAAATTTTAATTTTTAAGGGGATGAATTTTGTAGAATGTTTTCATTTAAAAAAATGTTTTTTTTTATGAATTTCATTTCAACCTTTTTTCGAAGGTTTAAATTTCTAGTTAAGATAAATTAAAGGTTACTCTGATAAAAGACAATATATACATAAAATATGAACATAACGAACAGTAATCTTGCTCAGAAGTCCCATTGAAACAATACAAGTTTTGAGCAGAGTAAACAAGGACCTCAAAAAACATCGAATTTGGGATCAGATGCCGTGGAGAAGAAAGCATCCCTTGTCTACCTGTCACATCCTCCGTGTGCTATTTTAATGATTGTGTAAAAGGATAAATTCGTACTCAAATCAGTATGAAAATTATGGCCTAACAAATTGTATGAAAGACGTCAGTCAACATTCGACCTAAGAACAGAGTGTATTTGTAAACAAAGCCATAATATAGAGCAGCAATATACCCTTATCACGTGCATATGGTGAGTATATCTCTCAGTTCGATACACAGGAGCATATTTATGAACAATTTCTAAAGCAAGAGGCACAGGGCGGTTGTGACCGGTCGGAAGGGGATGCTCACTCCTCCATGGCACCTGATCCCACCTTTGATGTTTTTGGAGGTCCATATTTCCTCTGCTTCCGATTTGTATTGTTTTAATGGACTTTGAGCTTGAATACTGTTCGTTATCTCCATATTTCAGCATAGAATTTGCAAAATGTTGACTTCAAACGAGATTTCAGATACACTTATATATGCATTTTTCCATTGTTTATAATCTTCACCACCGAAAATAGTTGAGAAAAATAGAGTTTAGTCATAGAGCTGATTACAAATTTCAATAAAATATTAGTGAAAAGATTTTGAAATCAGTTAAATTGATTTAACATGTGTTTGCTGGTAAGACAAGTAAAAATATGGACAAATGAAGATAACTCAAGTTTATGTGACTTACACATGACAAGATGGTACTCTTCCTTGTAGCATGGAAACTTAACACGTTTTAATTCACCAAGATGACAATTTCTAAAGCGAACATGAAACAGAAAAATGACATACATGTGACATCATCTCTAACGCTCAGGTGATAGATGACATTTTGTGGAGGACGTATTTTATCTAATGGTTATGATAAAAAGCAAAAACAAAATATTAAAGTTGCGTCAAGTGCAAGCTCGTTTGCTGGATGACATTATATTAAAACAGAACGCGTTTCCCGACTTATTCGCTACTCAAGAGCATGCTCTGAGTACGACCAGTTTTTAAACCGAGGACGGCTACTCACACATAAGTTGATGTTACAGGGATTTCAACAACCTCGTTTAATGTCAGCATTCCGTAAATTCTAAGGTCGTGACAATGACCTTATGAGCAAATTTAACCTATGACTGGGTCATATTTTGGTTGACTTTTTTCCTACCATTTGTTAGACTTTTGTTTTTATATTAAATTTGACTACGGAATGTTGATCAATACATAGGACTCACGGCGGGTGTGACAGGTCAACAGGGAATACTTACTCCTCGTAGACACCTGATCCCACCTCTGGAATTCCAGGGGTCCGTGTTTATGTCCTGCTTACAGATTTGTTTTGTTTGAAGTTTTTATAAGATTGATCACTGTTGTTATCTTTTACCTTTTTCATTAAGCTTGTTTGCTGGGTGACGTTCTGTTTAAGATGTATTTCATTTAATAGTTATGATAAAAAGCAATTAAATTTGAAGCTGTCTATTTGACACAGTATATTCCAATGTTTATTACACATAAAACATGTTTAACCAAGAAGTCCTGCTTGCATAAGATCTATCAAATCCTGCTTATAGGCTGCTGCTTCACCAAGTACTGCAATGAAAAAAAAAACTCTGTATCATCTGGAGGGAAACCTTCAGAAACGATATACCACTAGATATGATTTTTTTTTGCAAAAATAATCAAAACGCCTTCATCTGTACAATAGGCTTTTTAAAAAAAAGTTTTAAATATGTTACATTTCAATTAGCAACATGTTGTACATACGCATGCAGTTTCCAGTGATGTTTACGTAGTGGTTACAACAAACAATGTTTGTATTGGGACACTGCTGAATCAGAGGCATCTCCTCATAAGTCAGATGGGTAATAAGTTTTTCTCTGTAATTAAGTATTTAAAAATATGTGTAGTTGTTCCAAAGTTAACTATTTCAAAAGCAGGTTAAAATCTGTTTTATAAATTTTGACGCGTATTAGAAATTCAGTCAATATGAATTTGGGTCGTTCTGCTATAAGTTACTAACATCTTTAACGGTTTCCAAAGTAAAACATCCTTTATTTTAACTTACTAATATGTTAATTCTTTGAAGGGGATCGGAATTATGAAATCCTTGACTACTTACAGGTATCCTTATTGATTTTGATGATTTGCTGGTTTCTGAAATCTTAGATAACTTACTGATATCGTAATTCATTTTGATGGCATTTTCCAGTGTTCAGAAATCCACATGAATTCTCCCCAACCTGTACTTGAACTCCGACCTTTACTATTTCGCTGACGACCTTCGAAACCGTTTTGTAACCAATTGGAGTACTAGTGTCGGTAGAGCAGCAAAAATGGCTAAAATAAAAGTTTAAAACTTTGGTAAAGGATTTAAAAAGTACAAAGTAAACCATTCAAGTTGTGTTTATAAAAACAATACAAAAAAGTAAAACATTATTTATGATTATTTATGATTCCTCTTTTCTCAAAAAGAGGAGTCCACTTCCTTAATAATTAAAATTAAAAATCAATAGAAAGTACATATCTTTTCTTTTTTTATTTCAAAAATTAAAAAAAAAAGTGTCCAAATGTAAAAGCTGTTAATAATTCATCCGTGGAGAATTTGATTATTTTTTAAAAACAACTTTGCTGTAATTAATTTCTGTCAAGAAATTTTAAATCCTATAGTTCTTTGATGAAAATGTTTGATTAATATAGCATTTCTTTGTTTTAA